GAGCACGTGGAAAATATCGGGACAAGTCTTGCAAATTGACTGCAGAATATTGAATGTACATATGTACTCGGTCTTGTAGAAAGACTTCAAGACTTTGTCTCTCGGGCGCGCACACACACATTCACATAAATATCCGCACTCGTAAAAAAAACTGCAAGCTCAGCATCTTTTCTGCTTAAATATTCAAAATACATAAGTGTAGTGTAGTGTAGACAAGCAAAATACAATCCAATAACCGAAATGACAAAAGCTTAAGTAGTAACAAAGACAGAAATCGAAAGTAAAGGGAATTTTAGTAAAAAAAAAAATCCAAAATAAATAAAGAAAATAAATGATTTGAATGCAATTTCAAGGCAGTTAAGTCAATTGTTGTCGCCTCCAGCATTTAAGCAAGGCAGCAATAAACCAGTGACAGAGCTGTTAGTCGTCAACTTCCCCACCAACAGTGTTGGCCATAAATATACATACATATATACATAAATACATACATATGACAAAAGCAGCAGCGACGGCAACAGCTAGTTAACTGTGAAAGTGAACAGCTTCTAACAATACATATGTATGTATGTAGTTGGTATATGGCAAAAAACACCAAATAAACAAAACAATAATATTAATACCAACAACAACAACGATAACAACAACAACAACACTAAAAAATACTAACAACAACAAGTGTTGCGCGTGAAAAAATAACAATAAAAATTAGTGTATTGCAGCTGTTACTATTTATTGTTGTGTCATTTCAGCGTTGTTGTTATTTTTCTACGCTCGGCCGAACGAAATAGCCGCACCATAGAATTGCCAACAGCTTGTATGTATGTACATACATATGTATATATGTATATACAAACATGCATACATAATGTTTATGCAAAAGCACAAATAAACGCTCATATGGCATTGCTAACAGAATGGAGCAGTTGCGCTGACTCGCCAATTGAGGCTTGGCGTTTAAACTGAAGACTCATGCTTACATATAAATACTACTTATTATGTACATGTGTATGTGTGTGTGTGTGTGTATGTGTGTGTGTGTGTGTGTGAATAATTTATTTTGCGATGGTGAATTGATGATAACTAACACAAGTCATTGACGGCGGCGGTGGCGGCAACGATGAAGCGTTGTAAATTAGAAAATTTCTATACACACATACATACATACATGCATACATAGTACATGGTATGTATTTATAAATGCCACCAAGTTTGAATGCCAAATTATATAATTAATGCATTTTAAATTGGATACATTTATGTAAATGTGTTTGGAGCAAAGAAAGGGCGGTGAATAACGATGAATACATATATACATACATATGTACATAGATAGTGTGTAGAAAGTGTAAGAAATGACAGCTGGGCGGTAGGAAACTCGACACAAATGTATATGGGACTTAAATAAAAGAAATATTTTGGAAATGCTTAAGGTTGGCTGATATCAAAAAGCTCGTATTCTTTAATTTTTTTAAAATAAACTTTTCGTAAAAAATATTTTAAGTTTTTTTTGAATAAAAAATAAACAACAAAGTCTCGTAAAAAAACTAAATAGTATTAAAAAATACTAATTTCCAAATGATAAAAAAAATCCAAAAATTTTTAAAAAGTGTTAACAAATGATAATTTTCAAATTTTCTTAAAAAATGTAAACTATAATTTCAGAAAAAAATTAAAAAAGTATTAAAAAAACTAATTTTCAAATAATAAATAAAAAAATAATAATTTTAAAAAGTTTAAAAAAAAACCAGTTTCAAATTTTCTTAAAAAATGTTTTCAAATTTTATATAAAAAAAAACTATTAAAAAAAATATTAATTTACTAATGATAAAAAAGATACGTCAAACAAAAATTAGAATTTTCAAAAGAATTTAAAAAATTTAAATCGCAAGAAATTTAAAATAATTAAAAATAAAAGATTTTAGAAACAATTAAAAAAAAATTATCAAAAAAATTAAAAAAAAAAATTAAGATATAATTAAAAAAACAAAAACTAAGAATAACTTAACAAAGTTTATAATAAAGAAAATTTAAAGAAATAGCAAACCAAATAGCATTGAATAAAAAAAAAATAATAAAAATTTAAGATTTATTAAAAAAATATAATGCCACCCGCCTACCATCACCAACTATGAATTAAAAATGGGTCACGCATTTGTTGTTTGCTGTTTTTACTTTATTTCAATAGTTTTAAAATGCATTCCATATGTATGTACATACATATGTATGAAATGTATTTTAGTGTTTGGTTTTGAGTACCTACCAAGTAGAGTGCGGGCATGACAAAGTAGAAAGCTTACCTTTGAAATTGTAAATTTTACAACAACAGCAACAATAAATGATGATGAACGAATTCTGCTGATTTTTATTTAGTTTTGTTAGAAGCTTCTCCTTGGTTTTGAAATTTTTTTAAAACACTGAGAGTTTAGTATTTTTGTTGATTAATTTTTCAATTTGTTTTTCTAAAATTTTTTTATTTTTTTTTAATTTTTAATTTTTAATTTTTTATTCTTTATTTTATTTTTTTTTCTTTTTTATTTTTTCTGCTCCTTACATGATTTTCTTTTTAGTCGTCAGCTGCTGCAAAGAAATCTAAATATAACAATTTTTCTCACTGCAATTGAGATTTTTTTTGTTTTTTTTTAAGCTTTTTCATTTTTTATTGCACTTTAAAAAAGGTTTTGTTAAAAAACTTAATTTTTTGTTAACAGTAAACTTCGGAAAATAGTTTAGGATTCTTAAAAGATCTAATTTGTAAATATTTTGGCAGTTTTGTTAAACATTTTACTTTTATTTTTGACACACATTTTTTTATTTTGATTATTTACTATATTCATGAGCGTTTGAATTTGCACACACTTTTCTCTCGCTTTCTCTATTCTATTATTAATTAAAAAATAATAATCAAAGATTTAAAAATTTAAACAAAAATTTAAGTTCAATTATAAATTCGTAACCAAACGAACAGTTTAAAACGGCACTTTTCTGTTACTTTCTGTATTTTATTTTATCAAAATTTCTGTCTACGTTGGCGCTTCCAGCTGAGCCTAATCAGCAATTTTAACACTTAAGCACCAACAGCAACACTAACTTTTAGCAATAAATTTTTTTCAACTAAATTTCCAGCAGTTTTATAAGAAATATTTTTTTAACAAACTTTTTTTGCTTTTCCAATTTCATGTGCTTACATACACACATACATACATGCATATGTATTTCATTGCAGATTTTCTTTTAGTTTCTTTAACGTCTGCATGCAATCGCTTTCTAATGCTAGCGAATAATTGCAGTAGCACAACAACAAAAAGAAAACTGTATGAAAACTGCTAAATAAAATTAGTTGGTAAAGTGCACAGACAGACAGCTTCTTTAGTTTTAAATCGTCACAGATATTTTCACCGACTAACACAGACAGCTGCTGCTGGCCGCAGGATGTCACCGCCTGACCGAACAGATGTGCGGAAAATCCACTGCATGTACGATGTGATGTACGAGTGTGTATTTTCACTGATTTTCTTTGCACTGCGGGACTTTTATTTTGCACCGTTTGCTTTGCGTGCCAATTTTCGCTGCTGCCAGCGAGTCATGCACATTAAAAATAAAGCTAGTCTGCACTGCGGCGCTTTTTTCACATATCCTACTTATATGTACAGATATGGACGTACATATGTATGCTTATTCAGCTGCTACACACACTGCTGCTCACCTTTTTTTTCGCGCACGCTTTCGTTTGTTTGTTTGTTATCCTTTTGCGGCGTAACTAAGTAACGTTTGTTGTTTTTTTTTTTTGCTTGCTTGTTTTCAAATTGGCACAACGCAACGGAGCGATTTCACTTAAACATTAATTATTTAACGTTTTTGAAGAAAATTCTATTTGATTTTTTAGGTTGTCTCAAAAATTTCATCTATAACTATTGACCGTAAATAGCAAAAAGCGCACATGCAATGTTACTTCTGCAACGTTTTGAAGACAACAACATAACGCAAACGCCAATAGCCAAGCAAAAAGCCAAGAGCTTGAAGAATAAATGCAGAGCGGAAAGAAAATTCAAAGGCAATTTGAGAGAAATCGAGAGCAACGCTTTTGTTTTTTAACAACAAAGCATTTAGTTGGCAACGCTGACAAAGCAAATAGACAGTGGCGCGAGCGACAATTATTTGATTGAAGGGAGCTTTTGGAAAGATATGCCAACCGAATGGCATATTGTTCAATATATTTCATAAGTTTAACTCTTTGCTTTTGTTGAAAACGGCAGTGTTTCTGTTCCCAACTTTATTCCCAAATGACAAAAAAATATAAAGGTAACACACAAAAGTTATAGTGGAAAAAATTAAAAATAAAAAAAATTTAATAAAAGAATTAAACCAACAACATGAAAAAAAAGACTAAAAATAATATTAAAAAGAATAGAATATAAAATTAAAATCAAGGTAAAAAAACAATAATTAATAAAAAAATAAACAAATTATAAATAAATAATTAAAAACATACAAATAAATACAATTAATTAATAACAAATAAAAATTTAAAAACTACAAATAAATACAATGAAGAAAATAAAAATTAGAGCTAATAAAAGTATTTGCCAAAATAAAATATTCAAAAAGTTTATATTAAAAATAAAAAATTTAAAATCAATTCATACGTATTAAAGAGTAGAAAACTAAAAAATGGAGTTCTTAATATTTAGAATTAAAAGCTTCAGTCGTCAGTCGTTATGTTATTTATCATATAATTGAATTTCTCTTCGCTTTTTGTGATACACTTTGAAGTCAAAAATTTGTTTCGCTGGAATAGATCGTCCTCCGAAATAAGAAAGGCATGAAGAGGAAACGAATTCTTTCACAGACTCTACCAATTATGACCGTTCTCAAAATACAAATTTACAAGACAGTTATGCCGCTTCTCATTCATATACGTTCTTCGATCTTGTTTATTTTTATTTACATGCGTTCTATGTAATTAACTTTTTTTTATAATATAAAATTTATTATAATAATAATCATTTAGTTTAAACTTATTTCTTTTAACCCGTACCACTCTGTCTGCTACAGCAACCCTGGGTTATTGGCCAACTCGCTGATAACAACCAATTAGCTCCAGAAAACATTTCAAATGCCTACTCTTTCGCACACATTCCAATCGGTTAACAACTCAACCGGCACCATTTCACAAATCCACTTGTATGAGCGCGATGCTTGCATTGACAGCAACAATTGCGCTAACGAGTAGTAGGGGGTACGATTGCGGCGAGTAGAAAAAATTTTTTCATTTCCAAACTAGCACCGAGAATGCTTCGAATTCATTCAATTGCGATAAAAAAGTTTTATTATTTTGATTAGTCAAAGTCAAGGAAAAGACAGCAAGTAGTTGAAAGAAGAGGTGGTGAAAGCAAAAACAAAGTGGAAAACAAATATTTGAAAACATAAACATTGCGTTTTAAATGGAAAATAAGTAAAAGAAAAAAAAGCAATTCATTTAGAAAAAGTTGAAACTGCTGTGCCGCCAATTTGTAACTTCAAATAAGAATATTTATTGTACAAAAAACTATGCTGTAAAGCAGTGGAAAAAACGCATACAACATTAACATACTCCTCCAGTATTCTAAGTAGCAGCGAAGGTGCATGTGAAGCGATAAGCAAAAAAAAAAATTTAGTGTACAAAAAAAAATTTAAGCAAAAAAAAAAACGCTGTTGTTCTCTTGGCCAGAATTTTGAAAAATTGCACGACGTGGGTATTTTTGTGGTTTTGGTAGCTTGTGGAATAAAAACTTAAAATAATTGAAGAGTGCTCCGTACATAGCTATTGTGTGTGCATAGAAAAAACCAGCAACGCTAAAGCGCGAGACCCCCTCGATGTTGGATTCCTTTGGAGTTAACGCAGTGCATAGCAAGGCTAACGCAAACGCTGAAAATCCAACGCAGGACAGAATTAGACTCTCGACGAACAAACGACATGGAAAGCATCTGTAGATTATGTTTTCAACCAGCTGCGGTAAGTAGGAAAAGAAGGTTAAAAACTCCGACTTTGTAAATTTCAAGAATATTTCGGGCAGTTAACAAAAAAAAATTCAATTTATTTTGTTCGTTTTGTATGCACTATGTGCGCCATTTGCGAATTTTCGGTTTGGGAGGAGCTGCACTGTGGCTGCTGCTACTGTTTCAGTTTTGTTGGAGAAAAAATGTGTATTTTGTTATTTTTATTGATTTTTCAGGCGTATGGGCTTACGGGTGGTCTAAACTGGTGCGGGTAGCGCGCACTACACATAAACTTGTGGTGGGAGTGGCGATTTAAACACCAGCTTAGTTGTTTGGTGGTGGTATTTTTTTTTTGTATTTTATATCTAAAACGTTATAAATTGCAAAATGGAAAATTGGAAAGTGGGCTGCCGGGCGTACATACGTCAAATGTGGGGAATGTGCATGTTGTAGGGTTTGATGCCATAAGCGTGCTGGCGCGTAGATTGGGAAGCTATAAAAAGGGCGGCAAATGTGGAGTAAATATGTGAATACCTCCGTTGAATGCAGGCGGTGCAATTATAATGATAGCTTAAAGGACAATACATTAGTTGTTAGCATTTTTTTTTATTCTCGCTAGCTCTATCTGTGGAGTAAAAAGAAATCATATTGCCGTAGTTTGAGCTCTCTACTCACAATAGAACATACATATACATAGGTATACGCGTACGTCGTGTATCTTTAATAACCACTTGACCGGCTTGAACGCCATTAAAATGGCGTCTAAAATACGAAAAATTTCTTATATTTCTGCTTCTACACAATTCCCAGCGTTTATTACTTTTTCAGCACAATGTACGCTTTGTCTGCATTATACATACATACATGTATGTACGTATAAATATACATATATACGCTACAGAACACCGCACACCACTTATACTCCTCCACACTACACATGGATACGTACATACATACGCACACTCGGCAGAGCAGCGTATTTATACACTTTATTTTCATTACATTTTTTCTTATTTTTTTTACTACTTTTTTTATGCAACGTTCGTTTCTTTTTCATTCGCTTTTGTTATTCTACCACAAATCCCCCCACCTTTTTTTTTAATGTGTTTAATGTAAAAAGGCAGGTAAAAAAAGTGAAAAAGGGAAAGACTGCAACCGACGTACGGGCGGACGACGGTTTTTCGGTGGTAAATAATTGAAGAGAAAGAAGCTAAATAAAAAGAATAGCAGAAAAAAATAAGAATTAAAAAATATGTCAAACTGAGCAACACATAGCATAGCGAAAACAGATACAAATGTATTCGTACGGAAATAAATGGAAAAACAAATATGTACATACAAAAATGTATATATGTACATACGTATGTAAAACAAATAAATAAAAAAGTAAAAAATCTCACAAATGTAGGTACTTATGAAAAATTAACAAAAAGAAAATCATATAAATTGCGCCAAAGAGCGAACGATGACGACGACCGCCTTTGCACACAAACAGCTATTTTCGCAAACAAAAATTACAGCGCCAACAAAAACTGCGATAAGTAAACTAAAATAAATACGAACAGCGAAAGAAACATTGTTGAGTTACAAAAATAAAAAAAAAATATAATCAGCAATAACAAAAGCAAATATAAAATAAAATGGAAAAGAAAAAATACGAATGCAAACAGCAACAATGTCCATAAGAAAAATAAGCCAAGCGAAGTCAGCGAGTGCCTACCAAATCGTTGAAATGCTCGTTAGCGTCGCAGTCGAGAGGTAAGCAGCGCCGCGCAGTCAGCAGTGCCAATTGTACGCAATAACAATATACAGAGCAACAGAACGGCGGCGCTTGAAGTGATTACTATTGAGAACGAAGCAAAGCAGCGAATCCAAAGAATAAAGAAGTCACACACAAGCGTACAGTACAGAAAACAAAAAAAGAACAGGCATAAAAATAAGAATAAAGAAATGATAGAGGGTAAAAAGGAAACAAAAAAAAAAACAAAGTGTGCGACGCAAAAAAAAATTTGAACAAATGTGACGCATTGACGACTCGACTGAGCAATCTACCAAGCGGACCGACTGTTCGTCGTCTGACAACTATACATACATACATATATGTATGCATATATACCTACCGTTTCGGTCAGTTGTGCCGAGAGCGGGCAGCACTTGTTTGCAAAAACGAAAAAAAAAATGTTTTATTTTATGAATTTTACTTTATTTTTCTGTTGTTTTTTCTTTTTCCCCTTGCGGATCGGTTAACATAACCTGTGTCTGCTTTAAATTTTGTTTTCTTTTAATTAAAAATGAGTACGAGGCAAAGTATTATGTGTGGGTGTGTAGCAAAGCAGGATTTTGTTAGTGTTGCCATTAAATTTTTGATGTTTTAAATAAAACATAAATCCGTATTAGTACTAAAATTACGGTAGATTTTTCTTAATATTTACCATTTCATTTTAGACCGAATGGAATTGTTCTAATTTGGGAACATACTAAATTGAAAATCGCTTGGACGAATTACAATTTGTACCAGTTTAATATTTAGACTAATTTTAAATTTATACCAGCTTAAATTTTAGACTTAGTTTTAAATTTATATCAATTGCAAATTAAGACCAGTTTATGAATTCAAACTTTGACTAGGTTTGAATTTATATAAATTTAAAATTTAGACCAGTTTTGCTTGTTTGCCAGTTGCTTATTCAGATCTATTACAAATATATACCAATGGAAAATTTATATCAGTTGCATTTTTATGCCAGTTGTAATTTTATACCAGTTTGAGATTTCAACTTACTTTAAAATTATACCCTTTTAAAATATCAAGTTAAGTTTTATACCACTCAAAAAACTTTTATTTCTGGTCTTCACCACAGCTGTTCCAGGTACCCGGCTATAATATACCCACATGTGTCAAGTGTTCCGAACATTTAACCGCTAACGGTTTCTATCCATCGGTACGCGGTGGCGGTTCTGGCGCTGTCACTCCCAGCGCCGTGGATACGCAGAATTTGGCAAATGTTGCCGCTGTTGCAGCACAATTGAGTAGTAACGTCGCGGCGGCGGCTGCTGGTAATAATAACGTTGCTGCCGTTAATGCTTTGGCACAGCAATTGCAACAACAACATCAACAACAACAGCAGCAGCAGCAACAACAACAGCAACAGCAGCAACAACAACAACAGCAGCAGCAGAATCAGCAACAGCAGCAACAACAACATCAATTACAATCAACAAGTTCTTCCGAAAGTCTACATTCATCATCCGAGATTACGGAGAAGGTGAGTGCTGGAGTTGGGGGTAGATATTTTGCATTGTAGATGTAGTTTAGTATGTAAAGTAGAATGATATGCGTGTATTTTGTTGTGTTGTGCTTAATTTTTGTTTTCAATCTTTTTTCGTGTGCCCATTGTGAGTATCTCGGAAGAAGGTGGACACAAAGTTATTAGAGAAATTTAGGCCAAAGGTCGTTACGCGCAAGCATTGAGAAGTAGCGGAGATTTATTTGTGTTGGCTTGGTAACATTTTGTCTTTTAATTAGTAACAAACATTTCGAAATTTAATAAAAGAAATCATAAAAAAATATGAAATTTTTCTATTTCATTGTTAAAAAATAGTATCATCAAATATAAAAAATTAAAAATTTAAAATAAAAATAAAGGAATAAAAACCTAACAATAAAGAATAAAAAATAATAAGGATAAATAAATTTAATAACAAAATAATAAAAGAAATGAAAATGAAAAATATAGAAGAGAACAAAAAATCAAATAAAATCAAAAGGAGAAAATTCAAAAAAAAAAAAAAAAAAAAAAAAAAAAAAAAAAAAAAAAAAAAAAAAAAAAAAAAAAAAAAAAAAAAAAAAAAAAAAAAAAAAAAAAAAAAAAAAAAAAANTTATATTATTTTATTTTATTTTATTTTATTTTATTTTATTTTATTTTATTTCACTTTATATTATTTTATTTTATTTTATTTCCTTTTTACTCATTATTTTATTTAGTTTCATTTTATTATTATATTATATAGTTATTTTTTTTCATTTAATAGAAGTTTTAAGTAGATTTAGAAGCTTATAAGATTAGAGGAAATAAGAAGCCTGCGTTGTATTTGTAGCCACCATTTTTAACCTGTTCAGAGCTACCTAAAAAGATTAGGTTTTTATTTGAATAAAAAAAGCAACAAAAACCAACATCGAATCTTTAAATACCCCAAAATCATTCATGCGATTGTTAGTCGAGCGGATGGAAAACCACAACGTCAAACAGCATTAATCGTACGTCAGATCAAAAATCATTTGTAGCTAAACAAAATAGGTAACAATGAAAGCAAAACCGCTTTTAATATGTATATTTGTGCATACATATGAATGTATATAAAGTACGTACTTGCATACCTTTATTGTACGTATGTATGTATATCGATAAGTATGTATGTACAGACCCTGCATGTGAATGTTGAGTACAATCACAAATACTGGTTTTTTCGGTGGAGATAAAAAGCACCACAGACCGACTGGCTATACGAGCAAATAAATACTTGCCACTGCCGTCGATGAAAACTAAAATGAATTTATAATACAAAAATAAAAAATAAAAAAATTAAAAAATTAAAAAATAAAAAAAAAAATAAAAAATAAAAAAATTAAAAAAAGATAAAAAAAATAAAAAATAAAAAAATTAAAAAAAGATAAAAAAAATAAAAAGAAAATAAAAAAAAAAAATAAAAAATAAAAAAAAATAAAAAAAAAATAAATAAATAAAAAATAAATAAATAAATAAAAAAATAAAAATAAAAAGGAAAAACATTGAAAAGTGATGGAAAACATAAAATAAATAATAGGCAGAATACATAAATCGAATTAATAATATATTTTTTATGATACTATTTTCTAAAGTTAAAACATATTGATTAATTTTCACTTTAGTTTTGTAAAGATTTCACTATATTATTAAAAAAATATTTTTGAACAGTTGGGTGTAGAATAAATTTTGAACTATTTACCATTCAGAAAGCACAACCTTCAGGTCTTTCAACGCACTCTGAGTTTATTTGTTTAATTTAACCTCTTACATACATATAAATATAAATTAGATATCATAAGAATTAAGTTTTCCTCAAACTTTTCTCTTTTCTTATACCATTCTCTCATTCGCAGCAAAACCGGCAAAATCGCCGCCAGGTTAATTTGCAGAATCGCGCGAAATTAAAAACGGTCACAATGTCCGCATTTGAATTGGAGAAGACCATACAACAGTTAGATGTACTTATCTTTGCTAATTTTAGTATAAAGAATTTGAAAAATTTTAATGAAAATATAGAGATAAGAAATTATTATTATTATTTTGAATTCGTTTTCGTTGAATGTAATTTTTAAAAGCAGTTGGGTGTAGAATAAGTTTGTGTATGTAAAATTTGCCTTTTTTTAGTTTTGGTTTTGATTTTCATAGTTTTTTTTACACAAAATAAGCTCAACTGCTCTTTTATTTTATTTTTATATTTTAGAAATATTTTTATGTTTTCTTACATATTTCTTTTCTGCAGGTGGACTTGATTTTCAACGAGGAGGGCTCATGTCCGCTGTGCAATAAGACATTTTCGCGTAAATCTTCACTACTCACACACATACGGAATCACGCCGCAGAACGGAAATTCGTTTGCAATTTTTGCAATAAAGGTCAGTAGGGGTGGACAATATTTTACGTTAAACAAATTGTGTTTTAAATATTTTTTTTTAATTATTTATGAAAATAATGTTGTAACTCGTTTTAGGCTTCACGCAGGCGGCCAATTTACGTAATCACGAGCGTATACACACAAACGATCGTCCATATGTGTGTGTAGATTGTGGCAAACAGTTCACGCAGGTAAGTGAAAGTCTAAAACAAATAAAATAATAAAAAATTACATAGTAAAAAAAATTTTTAATAAATAAATAAAAAATAATAAATAAATAAAAAATAATAAATAAATAAAAAATAATAAATAAATAAAAAATAATAAATAAATAAAAAATAATAAATAAATAAAAAATAATAAATAAATAAAAAATAATAAATAAATAAAAAATAATAAATAAATAAATAATAATAAATAAATAAATAATAATAAATAAATAAATATTAATAAATAAATAATAATAAATAAATAAATAATAATAAATAAATAAATAATAATAAATAAATAAATAATAATTATTTATTTATAATAATAATAAAAAATAATAATTATAATAACATTAACAAATAAATAAATGGTAAGAAAAAAACTATCAAATACTAATTGAAATATTTAAAATTAAATCATAATAACACCAAAACAAAAAAAAATGAAATTAAAAAAATAAAAATTTTAATGGTAAATAAAAATATAAAAATAAAAAAAGTATAAAAATAAAAAATTGATAATAAATAAATAAAAGTATATTAATAATATAATAATACATTTTAAAACCTTCTCACTCACCTCCTCTAACAGATTACAAATTTAAACAATCATCGCCGTTTACATACTGGTGAACGTCCTTTCGTCTGCATCGAACCCGAGTGTGGACGCTCTTTTGCCCAGGTAAATCGTCTAATACTTTTTCACTATTAATATTTACTAACATCTAGTTGCATTTTTGCAGGTGACCAATCTTAACAATCACATGAAGACACACCACAAAGTACAGCAGTATTGTTGTAATCAATGTCCAAAAAAATTCACACAAGTCACCTCGCTCAATCAGCATCTGCAAGCACACGCCGGCATCACCGGCTACTATTGTCCACGCTGTCCGGACAAGACATTCAAACAACAATCCCAATTGCATACACACATGAAATCGCATGGCATGGCCTTCCCTTATGAGTGTAGCAAATGTGATGAGAAATTCCTGCAGCAGGCACATCTCGATCAGCACTTGAAGATGCACGATGAGTTTAAATTCAAATGTGACATCTGTCCGAGTTCATTCAATCAGGAGACGTTGTTGAAGAAGCACGTACAGCGACATGTGGAGGGCAGGTGTGTAATGTAACAGAATTTAATTTTTCCACATATTTTTAAATAATTAATGGATTTGTAAACCGGTAGGTACCTCACTTGCCCTGTGGCCAGTTGTAATGAAGCATTCGCTGTGCGCCAGCATTTATCAAAACATTTGCTAACGAATCACGCACACAACGAATTGCCGCCGCCGAAACGTTCAAAAAAATCGATAACATTGCAATCGCCACAACAACCGTTGGCTATGATCGGACAACCGCTCTCCATACAGCATACAGCCGGCCAACGTATGTGTTCGAATACAGGAAGAAAGCGTAAACAAAAAAGTTTTATATATTTAATCTAGCGGAAATGAAAGAAAATGTTTGCTTGTCTGAGAAAAAATGTTTATGTGACTGATGCGACAAGCAGGCGTTTATTTTTAATTTAAACTGTCGCTTCTTTTCTTAATTTGCCTGAGTAAAAGTTAGTTTTCTTGCTGTTTCACCAAACTGAGTTTGAAGAATGTGTTAAAAAATATTGGTTTTAGTGTCTTTCCACTGATTGCACTTTGAAACACAAATAAATTCTTTTGCTGCACAGTTTCTTTATGGCTTTTCTATATGCAAATTTATCTTTAGCTTATATATATAATTATTTTTTCTTGAAAAGCTTACATTAAAATATATAAAAATGTATAAAAATAAATAAAAAATTATAAAAATATAAAAAAAATATAAAAAATATATAAAAATAATAAAATTATATATAATATAATAAAAAATATATAGAAAATAAGAAAAATATAAAAAAATAAGAAAAACATATAAAAAATATATAATGAATAATAAGAATATATAAAATATAATAAAAAAATATATTAAATATAAAATAAATATATAAAAAATAATAAAAATATATGAGAAAAAATAAAGATATGTAAAAATGAAAATATATAAAAATAAAAAATATATAAATTAAAATATGTCAAAAACACAAAAATGTATAAAAAAGTTTTCTTTAGTTAATATTATCTTTATTTTATTTTTTCTTAAAAAATTTACATTAAAATATATAAAAAAATTTAATTATTATAAAAATATATAAATAAAAAATATTAAATTTTATAAAAAATATAAAATTAAAAAAAAAAATATTTTTATAAATATATAAAAATATAAAAAAATCTATGAAAATATATAAAACTTATTAAAAAAAATATACATATGTATCAAAACTATAAAAAAAATAACAAAAAGTTAAAAGTTGAAAAATTTTAAGTTTAAAAATATTAAAAATCACATCGTCATAATGGTGTTGATCAGTAAATGATGTGTTACGCTAAAGAATATTAGAAATAATAAAAATAATTCAAAATAATAATAAAAATATATATGATGTATGAAGGATAAAAATATTTGAAAATATTAGAAAAAAACTGTGCATTTATACATATGTACTTAATATATAAGCAAAAAATATTTTATCACTAAAAATTAATTTTTGAATTAAATTTCCTTTGCTTATTCACACTTAAGCGCCTCGAAACTGTATTTAACGCTTACTATCCTTTCTAATTATGCACCCACCATAGTATTATACTTAATATTTCTAATTGTTTTTTTTTCTTCTTCTTTTTCGTCCTCTCTTAGGTGGACGGCCGCGCAAGAATAAAGAACCGCAAAATCCTCCCATTAAAGTTGAGATTAACGAACCGTTGCACAATCAGCATGTGATTAGCAATGCTAGTGGACTATCCATACAACAACAAATTAGCCAACATATGCAACAACAGCAGCAGCAACAACAACAGCAACTGCATCAACAACAGCAGCAACAACAACATCATTTGTTAGCAAATCAGGTGAAAGCGCGCTTTATACCCACCAAATAGAGGAAGACGAGGAGGCGTAGGAGTAGGAATAGCAGACGGAGGTAGCCTCGACGGCATTTGGAGCATAATGTAATAGCTAAATCGCTTTAGAATATGCACTAATTTGGGTTTTATTTTTAATTGTCGTTAAGCGATTTTTTAGTTTTGTCGTTTGTGTAACATTTTAAGGCTTTAACTTAATTCTTTTTTTATTCTCATTAATTTTAATATTATTATTATTATTATTTTTTTATATAACATTTATATACGTATAAACATATATGTTATTGTAGCATGTATACTGAATGAAAATTTGCAAGTTGAAGAAAAGAGCAAAAGAATTCAAATTTACACAAAGTACAGTTAAGCGTTTAAGAAATATAAAAAAACATACATAATATGACTAAAATTAAGTGTAAAAATTTATATGCATAAATGAAATGATGCGTCTGCGAAATGCGGCAAGTTTGATAGACAAATACAGAGAAAATGATTGTACGCACGAAACAAAATTATTTTAATTTGATTACATATTTTTTATGGCCCATTTTTTCAAATTACATTTGAGACTCCGCTTGATCTGTATATTTTGCAGTTATTTGTCGTATGTAGAAAAATTAAGAAAAGCCCAATATTTTTATCCACAAACAATTTCTTATTGAATTGGGATTCTATCGTATTTTAATTATTTTCAATTTATTTATTTTTTTTTTTAAATATTCTTTTATATTAACTGTAATTTTTTTCGTTTTATTTTTTGAAATTATTACTATTTATTTATTACATTAAATTTTTATACCTTTATATTTATTTTTTTTATATTTTGATATTTGATATTTTTAGGTTTATATTTGCTATGTTTTATATGCTTTCTTTGTATTTATTATTTTATTTCATACTCACACTTGAAACAAAATTCAAAATTGTAAATACAGAAAAACACATTTAAGAAGTTTTACGTAAAATTGTAGTTTTTAACAAAAAAAAATTTTAATTAAATATTAGAAGAAGAATGTAAAATTGCGGAAATATAAAAAGAAAATTATATCTAATTAGATAATATAAATTACATTAAAAATTAAAATATTAAAAGAATATAAATATATAGATATATATATATATATATAGAAATTATTTGATGCATTTTCTTATGAAAATGCTTTATTTTAGCATTTTAAGCGTAAATAACATTAACGAATAATAATAGGGTATGCTCAAAATATTCAGAGAAAATTTAAACAAATAAAATTTAAAAGCATAATAAAAAAATAAAAAAATGAAATTTGGAAAAATACAATAATAAAAAATTAATACAAAAAAGAAGTTATTAAAGTAATGGAGCTTAAAAAATTAAAAAAAGAAAAACAAATTAAAAAAAATCAAATTAAAACAAAATTAAACAATAAAAGGAAAATTAAAGAAAACTTGAAATTAAATAAATTAAAATTAAAAAATTTGAAATTAAAAAAATTAAAATTGAAAAAATTAAAATTGAAAAAATTAAAATTGAAAAAATTAAAATTGAAAAAATTAAAATTGAAAAAATTAAAATTGAAAAAATTAAAATTAAAAAAATTGAAAAACATTTAAATTTCGTAAAATTAAAAAAGTAACAGTTTTTTCTAATAAACATTGCCTTTGTTTTTAATAATGTTTAATGGATTGTGCGGAAATTGACATCTAAATATTTTATTATTTCATTAAAATCACGAAAAAAGTATTAAACCTAAATTATAGATTTGCATATTTTGAAAGTAATAAATTTGAAATATATATTTTTTTAAAGTTGTGTGAAATGCTTCATATGTAAAATTTTTATACTTATATGTATATATAATTTTTTTTTATAAAATCGCAACTTATTAATTTATAATTTATATATTAAATATTTTTATAAAATTATTATATTTAATGCAATTTATTATTATTTTCTATTCTAATTTGTTTTATTTTCTTCACATTCTTTTAATTTCTATTTGATTTTATTCTCTACTGTATATTTATTTTTTTTATTTATTATATTTTTTCTTTATAATATTTATTTTTTGTATATTTTGAAACAGCGATTTTTACCTCTATAAAAGAGAAAATTTAGCACAAAGTGCATAAAACTATCATCTACAGTCTTCCCGAGCTAGCTTTGTTCTTATTTTCATTTTAATAATGGTTTAGTCGCTATTATTTTCCCATCTCTTAATTAATTTTTTATACAAATATCTCATCTGCCTACGTTTTTCACAAACTCGCTCATTTCTTCTGTGACTTTTTAAAGCCTATTTTATACAATTTATAAAAGAAATAAAAAAAGAAAAAACCTTCTTAAATATAGAATGTAAAAAGAGAAACGAGCAGCTTCCAAAATAACTTACCAGCTGTTTGTTTCACGGCAATATTTGATTTTTTATACACATTAGTTTCTAGTTAAAATATTGAAAAAAAGAAGAAAAATAAAATATAATCTTAAATTATTATCATAAGTTTTAATTTTAAGCGCTAAAAATACAAATTCTACACAAAATATAAAGATGAAAAAAAAAAAATGAAAAATAATCGGTTTAACTACTAAAACTAACTACAGTTATATATAATTAAAAGCGATACATATAAACTCAAATAGCAATAATACTATTAACCCTACATTTAATAAGCAAAGCAGAAGAAAAAATAAAAACAAAAAAATGTAAAATATAAAAATTACAAAATACCATTTATATGGATTGTAAACTCATGTGAAATAAGTGTTTTAAAAAAGGAAATTTTGAAATAAACTCTTAAATATGTAATTAATTTTATTTTAGGTTATTTTTAATTGGAAGCGATGTTGAACGAGTGTGATTTGTTGACGTAAAAAAAAGAGAAAAAACAGGACTCTGGTGGCTGTCCAAGAGAGAATCCAATGAGTGTAAGATATATATAATAAATAAAAAGAAAAAAATTATCTGAGCTGCAGTTTCGACAGTTTTGGAGCCTATCGTTTTGACTGCAAGACCTTGTGCTGTTCTTAACAGCATTAAAATAAAGAAAATAAAAAGAAAAAAATTTACGCGGGCTGCAGCCGCAATCCACAGCTTTGGTTTTGACTGAAAGTATGTGTACTAGTTATAGCAAGGCTTTCTCAAAATTGAATGCCAAAATGCAACTCTGTAGTGAGCCATCCAATAATTGTGCTTAAGGTTCCATAAATATTGTCCGTACCGCTAAATATCGACGAAAATCACAAAGTCATTTCATTACTCACAATTTAAGGATGGATTTTGTGAGAAGCTCAAAGAAGTACCTTTCGCCAGAATATCACGCCTGAGCGCGTCAGCCTCGACTTGTTAGTCAAGTGCTACGTGTATATTCACTCAATGTTTTAACTAAATTTTGAAATTGATTTATCTTAGGCGTGAAGTCGAGCTGTAAAAACGTAAGACTTGAAGCTACCCAAAAGAAAGCCGCCAAAGTACCTAAGTGTACTAACGCCACTCACACTGCTTGGTTCAACAAAGAAGCACATAATAAAGAGAATCGCTCAAACTACACGCGCCCCATCACTCTCAGGGGAAATATTGCTTAAAGAGTGAGCACATGAAAAATATCCCAAAAGCAGAAATTTTTATATCTTTCGTGGGTCTAAGCAGAGAGAGAGAGAGAGAGTGACAGAGAAACTGGCAGTAGATGGCGCGAAGTTGAGCGTATATTGCTTTCAACAGACACCTGCTGCTGAGTCAAAGTCACTTGGGGTTGTTGGAAAAATCACAGTCCGCAAGGAGAGAGCACAGTACGAGTATGAACTGTCAGAGTGCACCACCACCCACCAAAAAGGAGTTTAATTTAAAAATACATAATATGCGCCATTTTATAAACCAGCGCAGCCACCCTTGCTCTCGCGCCACGCAGGCACGTCAGCGCTTGTTGCTAATTAAGTTGTTTCTTTGTTATTATTATTATTATTTTTTTTTGCCAATTTCTTTCATGTTTTCTACAACCAAGAGCGCTGCTATGAATTTCGCCTCCCTTCTCAACATTTTCGACAAACAATTCTTCTTTGTGCATCCCATTAAAGGCTTAACAGTACTTTTAGGCATTTTACCGTTACACCTGCAAAATTCTGACCAATAAAAGTGTCAGTGCGCTGACAGCGTGTGATGGATGAGCTTGCGGCCTCGGGTGATGCACGATGATTACTTGACGAAAAAAGGATTTACTCAAAATTTAATGAAATAATTTTGAAATCGGCTGTAAGGGAAGGGAGGATTAAGTGGTATTTGATGCAGAGATTTTTAAATTAAAATGTGGTCACCTTCTTTAAATTTCTTTCATTAATTTGAAATATTAGTTTTTTGTTGTTTTTGTTTTCCCTCAACACTTTGAGCCGCAGCCTTTCGCATCTTTATTAAAATCATAAATGGCTTTATTATGAGCTACAGCTCTCAGCAGGTGCATCTCCAGCTATGCTGGTTTTAACGTTTGAGGTCTTTAGCCTGCGGCCTGTGGCGACGTCTCGCATTCTTAATGAATACAAATTATTATCACACAAAAGTACACGCACACCTTTACCGTTTACATAGCAGTTGTGTAGAGTCGCATTTTCTTAGTTTTAATTTTCTCTTTTTTGTCGTAGGGGCAGTCGGTCCCCGAGACCACGGCATCTGCTGCCGCCAAAAGACTCGGTAAATTTTTCTTTGTATGTTCACGTTGCCCTTAAGAAGTAGTCTCGAGATTCCAATTCATCTGCTTAAACTTAAATATTTGATTGAAATCATTATCCGTTGTCGAGCTGTGTGGAACGAGCATAGAGTCTGTTTGAGTCACTGGAATAATATTTTCCACTTCATAATAGAACTAATGGGTAAGGCTCATACCGATGAGGAAACCCCCTGGACTGGTTGAGCGCTGAATTGATAGGACTCTTCTTAGATGAGTGCATTTTTCCATGCAGGCTACTTGAGAAAGATTAACCATAACAGCAGATGTCGGGACCCACAAGTCCTTTTTAGTCACTTTAATCCTCATTGCAACATTCCAAACTAAATCTAAACTCAATCAAAGCGTCACGGTGAATAGTGAGTGAAAGACTAGCGACGGTTGTAGCTAAGATCGCTTATAGTGTCCGACCTGGCAGTTTGCTGCACTAGAAACCCAGATTGGAGGAACATTTTATGTTAGGGATAAGTATCAAATAGTCCTCGAGCTGCAAGCGCAAGATTACTGTATCGGCTATGAAGCCACAGGGCTGCCCTCAGAAGTGTATCAGAGACGTTATACAAAGACATAAGAAACCGAACAACTGATAGGTATGAAATTTTGTTCCGATTCAAGTCACCAGCACTGTACTCGAAAGATGATTTTAAGTCGGAGTGCCTTATTTTGAGCTTTCACGTGGAAAAAAGAACCAAAACCCTCCGAATCAGTTACTAAAGACGAACCTCTCTAAGGTAGGTGAAGTCTCATTAAAACTTGAATAAAGTGCGTGTAAAAACTCCAAACGGATTAGGCTAGACTAGAGAGAGAGGTGATATGCAACGGACAGAAGCTTTAAGATGAAGAAGAGTGGTTGAAGAAATTTGGTAGGTTTGGTAGGTTAATAGAATCCTTTGATAACCGGAACGTGGTGGGGCAGCTAACAAACAACAGGTAGCGTTTGCATGAAGAAGTTTTGGAAAGTACAAGCTCGGATTATCCGAAGCGGTTTCTTTTTGAGGTTGCACGTGAAAATAGAGCCGAAACTAATCGAACTTTATCAATTATTGACGATGAGCCTCTTCAAGGTAGGCGGGGTTTAAATAAATCTTGAAGAAAGCACAAATAAAAACTACAAAAATGGAAAACAGAGAAGATGTATTTCCAGGTTGAGAGAGTTTTGGAGAGTACAAACCCTCAACTTCTTCTGAGCTTATGTGCGAGAACACGAACCAAAACCTCTCGAGCACGCAATAGAACTTGAAGATAGCAAGAGAGAAAGGCTTTAGGATGAGAACTTTCAGTACAGAAGATTGGAAGAAATCAAGTGAATGAAAAAAACTATTGACAGTATGTGCATATTTCCTTTTCCTCCTTCCTCGGAGCAACTTCTTTTGAGCTCACATGTGAAAATGGAACCAAAGCCATTCAAGCTTTATCTCAGTTAGCGGCGGACCTCTCTTAAGTGGGCGAGGTCTTAATAAAACTTGGAGAAAGTACGTAGGGAGACCGAAACGGGGGTTAACTGTAAAGAGGAAAAATGATAAAAATTATATACCAATTCTTCATTACGGTTTTTGTTTTAAATACCTCCTCATGTTGAATCCTTTTTTTTTATAGTCCTAGCATTTCTCACTTACGTGTTGGTGTGGTTGTTGTTGTCTCGTTTAATAAAGCATATAATTTACACGCCGCGTTTAATGCGATTTTGATGATTCCATCATGTCATATTACATACGAAAATGACGCCAATACAAAATGGTGCAACAACAACAACAACAACAACAACAACAACAAAAACATGATATAAATAAATAACAAATTAAATGCCTCACATTTACAACGCAAAAGTCAACAAAATTTACAAAGCAACAAAAGCGAAGTAAAGCAAACAACAAACAAATAAAGCTGTAAAATTTCCCAAGAGGGGAATCCAATGGCGAAGCAGGAGCAGAAGAAGAAGAAGAAGAAGGAAGCCAACACACATTGTTGTCTTGGTTGTTTGTTGTGCTATTTAACGCCTTAAATGATGAACTTTACACCCGTCGAGGCGCGACGAATGCGACTGGGATCGTCGGTGGTGTGGGCTGCCAATGGTGGGTGGGTGGTTGTTGCTCTCTTTGTTGACATTGTAACAGTTAGAAAGTCAATCTGCCTTTCTAATTCTAGTACTTGTTGTTGTTGTTCTGATGAAAAAAAAAACTTATAAACACTTTTCGTGCACAAATTGAAATCTGGCATTTATGCTCTTAGCCGATGCGTAAACGTGCTTGCAACGCAAGTGGGTGGTCGATGGTCGATGGTCGGTGGTCTAGGGGTTGGCCACACGAGCTTACATACATATGTATGTACATATGTACGACAGTGTATCGTTTATATTGACTTACACGGCTTTTGACGTAGTTAACACGCGTATCCTTTTGGCGAGGCTGTTTGTTGCGTTGTGATTCCCCCTTGAGAAGTCATCCGTCAGCCGGTGCAAAAACTATTTAAGCATTCATGAGCGTATGCCACACGTCCGACGGCTGTCATCACTGTGGCAGTGGAAAACAAATTCACTCAAACGGAGATTTATATATAAAAGCACATACATACACGTATGTGTGTATGTACAAGTAAATAAGATGTGAACAGGGCAGAATGACGTGGTCCATTTGATTTCCCCCTTTAGTAGAACTATACAAACAATTTTTGCTGATTTCTTACTCCGAGAGTGGTTCTCCTTTGAAATTCAGTATTATTTTTATATTATTTAATTTTTTTTTTAAATTTTTCAATTATTATTTTTTGAATTTAATTTAATTTTTTCGGATTTTTATTTAAGTTTACTTTTTCTGATTTTATTTTAATATATTTATATTTTCATTTATTTCATTTTATTTTACTGTAATTATTTTTATATATATTTTATTTCTTTATTTTAATTTATTCTGATTTTATTTTAATTTATTTCAATTTTAATTTATTTTATTTTGCATTATTTCACAATAAAATTTTAGTTTTCTTTATTTTATTTTAATTTAATTTATTTCAGATTTTAATTTTAACTTTCTTTATTTTATTTTACCTTATTTTATATCTATTTTATTTCTTTATTTGATTTTATTTATATCATGTTATTTTACTTTATTTTGTTTTATATATTATTTATTACAATTTATTTTATTTTACATTTCTTCATTTGATTTAATTTAATTTTAATTGATTTTATTTTTTATGTTTAATTTAATTATCTATTTTTTTAATTTTATTTTTTATTATTTTGTATTTTAAAACAAAGCTTTAAAAGAATCTATCCGCTGGCATCTCCCTAAACTTCCGCTCAAATAACTCTTTAACTTGGCAGCACTGCACTTTGACATTCAACGGAAATGAAATTACCGGATGCCGTTAGTTGAAAAATCACAATTAATTTTGCATATTCAATAAATTAATAAGCGTGTGAAAGTTACAAATCAAAATAATCACTTATAAATATATATGAATATATTTATTACAGTTTAAGGCAATGATAAATAGTGCGTGTGTGTATGTGTGTGTATAAACAAACCACAAAATTTGTATGTAATCGCAAGCTTATCGTAGCTGCCGCGTGTGCTTCCACAAAAATACAAGTAACAAATGACCTAAATCTCGATGGGCTGATAATATTTAATACATATTTAATATACTTAAATATACATATAGATACTATATGTATATTTAATAAATAATCAGCCGTCGATGCTATTAAACTCACATTGAATCTATACACCTCGGGCACATTGTGAAGATGCTAATCCCTTTATGAGCGTGATGTACACCCCATTCGGTAAGGCAATCAACCATTATTTTCACCAGCCTAGTGAGACTGGTGTAGCTTATTATTTGTTTATGATTTATGCGAATATTTATGTGCGCTTCGTGCGAGTTGAGAGTGTGTGGCGGTGGTGCATGGAGTTCAGCATGCAGCGGCGCAAAGAACATGGTGTGAATGTCAATTGACCAGCTCGAAGAAGATACAAACTTGTACATATGCTTCTTGGGAAAATTAAATATTTTTTTTATATTTTTCACACACACATACATATGTACATACATATGTGGTCATATGATTTTTCGTGCCACAATTTTTCCTTTTTTCCTCAGCAAAGTGGTCAGGCACAACGAAATGCTTTTAGCACTTTTAAATGGAACGCGTGTGTGTCCTTTACGTTTTGTGCATTTAAGTGGAAACTATAGATAAATATTTTTATGGTAAAAAAAAAGATATTGACAATAAAGTATTAAGCAGCAATCGATGTAGTGGAGTAGCCCGAGGTGAGTGGGTTAGTGAGTGGGCTGAGCATGGCGAAAGCATTAGGAATTGCAAAGAGAAGTGTTCTCAGAAGAAGAAAGTTAACTTCTATTATTTATATCCCCAATGAGTACGTCACAGCTAAGTTAATGTATTTTTGACACTCTCATGATATATGGTAATTATTAGTTCATATACGTGTACATACCTACATACAGTGGTCAAGTGCGTTGGCATGCGTCAGCACAAATTAATATTTTTGCTAAATGATTAACACTAGCTGACCGCAATGAGCAAGCAAAAAAAAAGGTGGCAGAAATCCGATTGTTTTGTGTTTGAATGGTGTGGTCAGCGATAACTTTTGAAAAATGATACTTGCGACGAATGGATTTTTATGCAAAGTGGTGGGCAAAGTGCTATTGAATAGGGGGATGCTTTTGTTGTAAGAAGAGGTAGGTGAAAAGAGGTTACTTCAGCTTGAGGTTAAAAATAATATTGTCTTCTCTCCTCTTGGACCGATTTCCAACCAATATGTGAAGAAAAGACAAAGACGATTTGTTGGCATATTTGCAAGTAAAGATTTGCTTAAGCAGTAAAACTCAGTTATAGCAAATTTTCAAATACGCAAGCACTTTGAAGGATTAAGCTTGCCTGTCACTATCAAACTATGTACATGTCTGTAAATAAAACATTTCCGGTAAACACGATAAGTTCGAGTTGCTGCTGCCTCATCGACCAGCAATAAATGCAAAACACCAAAAAATAAAAAGAGAAATGAAAAAATACAACAATGATTGAATAATAGTCGAAATAGTTCTTGAGAGAAAGAGGAAATATGTATATAAAGCAACTTGTACTATGCACGCTGCCGAAATCACTAGCGAATCACTTCCTCTGCATGTCAACAATACAAAAACATAATCCAAGCATACAAAGAAAGAATGAAAATCTCGAAGAATAGTATAACAAACTGAATTGGCATACGTACATACGTCCAGTCAAGTCATCCGGTCAATACTGTTTCCGCTTTCAGAGCACAAGCTGTTACCGATGGTACACTCCTAGCAGGCGCGGCGTAAAGGTCAATGACGATAAAGACGATTTGTTGTCAATAAGAAAATAATAAAAATGCATGTTATGTCCTATACAATAAGTGGCACAATGACTGTGTTACAAAGCCATGACATAAGGCAGTGAATCAGCTAATAAAGTGAACAGCATGATAACTATTGAAAAGGAAAAGAAATAAAAAAGGGATCAAGAAATAATTGGAAAGTCAAAAAGGCGCAATATATTTGTTTAAGTGTGAATACTATAAAGAAATTAAGTGACGGAAACTAAAGAACAGGATCCAATATAAAAATAGGAAAGCAAAGAAGAAAGCAACAAAAATATTGGCGAAGATAATCTTACCACTTATAGCTCAAAAGGAAAAGAATCGTAATTTAAAATTACAACAAATAACTAAAAAGAAATACGAGAGCTCGTCCTATAGTTATCGGTGTTGAGAAAATTTTGGTTCATCAGAATTACGAAAACCTCGCGTTTAGAAAACGTTTAAAGAGTTGTGGATCGTACGGAAAATAAATCATCTTAAAGCAAAACAGATAGGCCTTTCCTAAATTCAATAAATAGATCTAGTCAACTTTTCTTTCAAACTTAAAAAAAGGAGAACAAAAGAAATAAAAAGAAAAACAATAACGCTATCTGTAACAAAAGCCCCGTGCTCTTCAAGTTTGCAATCCTCTAAAATAAGAGTAGCGGAGCAGATTTAATGGCTTTTAAATTATCTTTGAGATCAAAAGGAAAAATTCAAGCATTTTCCAATCTCTAATTAATTTCGGTTAACATTTCCTCCGCATTTAAGAGCTCCAGAATAAAATAAATAAAAAGAAAAAATTATGTGAGATGTTCCAATATACATCGCTTTTTAAGTGCGTGATCCTCGTGCACTACACTTAACGTGAGGATCTCAGTAGCTAACGAATTTATTTTTTTTTTATCTAACTTTATATTTTTAATACGAACTGATGGAGCTAATGGAAATCATTATTAGATTTCACACAACACGCAAATTACCGAGTCTAAGAGTAAAATAAACTCTAACCAAGAACGCTAAAAGCTTTGTCTCAAATTCTCACAACTCATTTTCTGGAAAAAAACCCATATTAAGTGCCATTCAGTGGACTTTAATGGAATCATCGCGTGTGTTACACACGGCGACGGCGGGGCACACATTCACTTTTAACTATTTGAGTACATTAAAACATCAATTTAAATATTGGCTCGCATGATTTGCATATCATAACAATGAATGTAGAAAAAAGGAGACATGAATAAAAATCAAAGTGTAAAAGTAATGTGATATTAAAATATAAATAAAGGGCTGTTGCGCGATGAAACCATTAAACAAATCAAAATAGATTTTGCACTTTCACATGACCTCAATGGCGAATTTGGTTGAATGTGGAAAGGGTAGGAGTATGCAAGAAATACTATAGCTGGGACACGCTTCCCACGCTCACGATATGCTAATTGAAACACTAAGGTTCAGAGGCGTTGAACCTCAAAATGTCAAAATACACAACCACTAAAAATTTACATATCATTTTCAACACAAGCGGCTTGTTTTGCCTGGAAACTATGAAAAAAAACCCGAAAGGTGACACTATTTGCCAGGAGAGATTGTTTGAGAAGCTACCTTCAAGACTGTAGAGCGCTAGAAGCTCTCTCTCACCTGTCGAATAATTGATTCTCAACTACGACATATTAGCGGGAAACAATTTGTAATAGGGTGCAGAACAAATCAATCGCACAAACAGCTCAACAATCGAGAAATAAATACAAGAAACAAACAATTTAAGCAAACAAACAAAGAACCAAACAACGCCCTCACAAGCCTATACGTCAAATCATACAGGCATAACATGTGAAAAAAAAAATCAAAACGAATAGTCCACGTTCATAACAAATTATTATGATTGCTTACTGTCTCATATTTCACTTTTGACGGCAACCTTTGTTTCCTCTATTTATGGCGTTGCGTTTGTTGTAGGTGTTTTGTTGACAAAAATATCAACCCTTCCACTTTACACACATCACATAACCCTTTATCGTTGCGCATTGCCTTTTTCATCGGCAATTTGAGGACTTCCGTTTTGCTGCGGCACTAATTGTTGTTATGACTATTAAACAAGTCAATAAATAAATAATTTGTTAGAAGCTTTTTCCTTTTTAAGGATACCAAGGGTCTTATAGTTGGGTAAATGGGAAAGGAAAAACTTAAGGTTTTGACAGGCTTAGAAAAATTATTCGTAAAATGTTATAAATTCAGAGAGGTGACGTCAGTAAAGCAGTAGTGTCAAGAGCTAACGATATACGAGCTTCGCGGAAGATTAATGGCTTCACTGGTGCCAGAAAAGTATCACTTCGTTGGATAGAGCAAATAGAAATGCTCGATTTGTAGTCCACAATTGGGCGACACAGATTAAAAAGGAGAAATGACAGGTGTGCTGTTGCTAGCTCAGCTCAGTACGCGTTAGCGGAATCTGCGCCAAGAAGAAGTCGTGAAAAAAATATAATACCACCGCAAAAGAGGCAGCGAAGTTTTCTCATCACAATAAATTCTCAACTGAAAGCTACATTCAGCCAAGCCAAATAAACCTAACATAATGATTTACTCAACCGAAAAATATGAAAAATGTCTAAATTAAATAACTGATAATTTATTATCGGTCCAAAAGCAATTAAAAAAAAAATATGGAAAAACCACAAACCAGGACAAACCATTGTTACGGTGCATATTTCGGCTATGTGAAGAATAAATGTGAATAATGAATCGAAAAGAATTACGACGGGTTACGTAAATGGCGTACATGAAAAAGAACAGTTATTATTTATATGAGAAGCAGAGAGAGAGCGAGTAAAAAGTAAATATAATTCAGAAGTGGAATATGTATAGAGTAAAGTAAAAGGATTCGGACCATTAAGTTCCGGAAATGTGACAGAAACAACTGAGGTTGAAGCAGCGACTCTAAAGGATAAGCACGTATTGATGTTGAATAATTGCTTCAGACGAAGTGAGTGGCTACTAAGGGACAAATATTTGCATACATTATTATTATTATTTCTTAATATAAGTATCTTCTACTACTCTAGTGCCAGAGGATATTCAACGAACTGGCATATATAATAAAAATAAAAATAAAATATAAAGAGTTAGCGAAGCTCGGAAATTGAGGGAGAAGAGACCACTGACGCATATCAGCACCAGGAGTTGGAAAAATAATAGAATAGCAGCAACAAACCCGGTGAGCATGCTAATAATAATAACTACCATATTTAAATATTTTTTGTCCACAGATCGGACACCACATCGCGATGGAAACAAGAATAAAGCAAACAAAAAAATCCTTCCAATGTTTTATTAACTCTATACTTAATATTAAGTTGTACAAGTTTCAGCTACTCTTCCGTTTAGCATAAATCAGCGAATTAGCGAAGTACAAACTTATGGCATCCAGCTCAAACAAATT